CTTTACTTAAGAAAACTAATCTTGATTCAATAATTCTGGCCAATTATAGACTTATATTTATTTTAACTTTTATTTATAAAATTCTGGAGACAATAGTTGCTGGTCAGTTACATGATCATCTGCAAAGAAATAATCTGAAGCGTTTCAGTCAGGGTTTAGAGCTCACCACAGCACTGAATCTGCACTGGTGAAAGTTACTAATGATATTCTCATGGCCTCAGACAATGGACTTGTGTCTCTACTGGTCCTGTTAGACCTTAAAGCTGAAAACGTTTGCCATCACATACTGAGTACAAATCAAAAATCCAATATGGCCACTATAGCTTAAAAGAAAAAAATGACAGTCATTTTCAGACAAAGCTGAAATTTGGTGTACTGGTAGTTGAGAGTGAACCCCAACACATAGTACTGTCAAAACAAAAATTTAAAATGGTCGCAACATGGTAGTCCCTGTCAAAGCGTCTGCAGGAACGTTCTAGTTCCTTAGTCGTCTCGTTTTAAGTCTGTGTATTAGTCTTTGCAGGAATAGACGATCCTTCAGGTTTTGTCCTGTTGCAGAGCAAAGAGGAAACAGAAAATGCTCTTCATCTGTCCATGCATGTTGAGATTATATCTTTAAAAATAAGAGTGTGCCAAGAGTCCACTGAGTGCAACTCAGGCTCAGCCCGAGTGTCTCTCAGTGAGGAGGCTGAGAGTCATTCACAGCACGTACGCCGAGCGCGACGTCTCCTCTTCCAAACACTTCACTGTTTAGCTGAGACACTACAACAGTCATGATCTGAAGCTAAAACTCTGGCAGGAAATATTTAGTTTTTGAAGAAATGCCAAGCCTTTAAATTCATTATTTGAAAACAAATAAACAAATAAAAAAAAACAATAACCATCACGAGACACAGGACCTGAGCAACACTGTATACAGAAGAGGATTAGGCCACGATAAAAAAAGTTCTTGCTCAGAATACTGAGATCAAAATCAGGATTCTTTTTTTTTTTTTTTTTTTTTTTTAACCACCGGGGCCCTAACCTGTAGAAAAACATCATCCTTGACTTGAAGATAAAGTACTTTAATCCCAAAAAGACCTGGAATAAGACATGGATGATACTGACAATTATTTATTAAATATTTACAACATATTTTTGGAACATTGTCGTAAAAGTATTTTTCCATTTCTCTAATAAATAAACTGCTTTGAGAGCTAGTAAACAATGGACCAAACAACAAAACCCATACAAACAGCATGCACTAAAAAACATTTATTTAAAAAAAGCTGTGTTTTTGTTCAGATTGGATCAGTTCATGTTCGTGTCCCTCCAGTATTTTCAAACCCATGTGTGGACAGACTGGGACCAGTATTTTCAAACCAATGTGTGGACAGACTGGGACCAGTATTTTCAACCCCATGTGTGGACAGACTGGGACACTGCAGAGTCCGTCCTCTCTGCGTTCACGGCTGCTGCTGCTGCTGCTCCAGTGTGGCTTCACACGTCCGACCCAGTTCTCCCAGTTTGACCTTTGCATACTCGGCTCTGTTCAGCGCCATCTGACAGTCCTTCCGGGCTGAATAAGTGGACCCTTCATGAGGCTGACCTGTAGCTACCTGAAGACAAAACAAAACCAGGTGTTATGCTGCGGACAACACGATGCATTCACACCATTGTTGCTTTATAAATGTTTTTAAATAAACAACTTTCACAAACGTTCATAAAGTTTAAAGATTATTCACACCAATGTAAAACATGTAATAAAAAATAATTTTTTCATGTTTGTTTTTGAGTTTAAACATTATTTGTTAAAAATAAGTTGATGTCTAAATTATTTCAAGATAAAAAGCCAAAATGCAAATCGATAGAAAATAAAGTTGATTTTTTTTTTTTTTCAGAAAAAATGTCAGAATTTAAAAAAAAGGAAGTGTCATAAATCTATTTTCAAAACAAAATTGGAAAATTAATTTTAGGAAAAAAGTTAAAAACTTTAATTGAAATTGGAGTAATATTTTCTAAAAAGCTTTAAAAAACATTTCCACAAAAAGTAGTAATATTTCTATTTAGAAAGTGTTTTTACCATATCTAAAAAAGCAAAACAACAACAAAAATGTAGAAACGTTTCGTCTTTCATCAGAAAGACTTCCTCAGTCTGAGGATTAGTTTTTAGGATAAGGATTTGTTTTTACCATAATAAAATACACACATCTTTCACAATAATAGTCTCAACAACACATACCATATTTTTTACTGTATAAGTTGCTTTTTTTTGTTGTACTTATAGGCCGAAGCGACGTATTTATGGATTTTTTCCCATATTTATAAAACCAATTTTTGAACTTATAATTTGAATTTATAAACCAATGCAGACATGTTCCTGTTTTTAGTTTTCTACATTCACCTTATAATCTAGCTGTTTTTTGTTACTTTTTTATCCATTTTATTTGTAAAAAAAAAACCCATCTGTATGCCTTTTTTACAACCGTCTATTGTTGTTGCTGTTGTCCATTGTCATCATTCTTTTTGAAATCAGGTCTCTCTTGTAAATGAGTCCTTGAGGCTCAATGGGATTTACCCGTCTAAATAAAGTTTGGATGAAAATTTTTGGCTGCGATATGAGTTCATTCATTCTGACTGAAAATATTGAACACTGCCATTTTCAGCTGCTAGATGGCAGCAGAGTAGTATGGCATGCCTTTGTATCATGTAACAAGTAAAAGTGGCTATTAATGACACAATCGGCTTGCCACAGTCTGCCACCGTCGTCCAGCTCGCCTGGAGCAACCGTCAAATCAGTTTCATTTCACGGCACCGCCCCGGAGAAATGCAGCTGATTTGACCATCGAAGTGCATTTATTAAGTACAAGTTCAACTGAGACACATCTTTTACTATAATTTCGAGCTAACAAATAATTGTTTTTAAGTGTTAATCTTATTTAACTTCTTGTTAAGTCCTCCCGTGCATGCTCCCATGGCCGCCATTTGGCAGCTCATAGACTTTTGGCACAACACCTGTCCACATTTCCGGGTTGTCAGAGGTGACGCATAATAGAAGCGACGTATACGGCGGAAAATACGGTACTCCAAGTGTTGACTACTACCAGTAAATACTTAAAGGCATGGCTTAATTTGAACTGGATCCTGGCAGAACAAGATCCGGGAACTCTCTTATTTTGATGAGGTGCGTTCTGGCAATGGTTTGCTTGGATCTGGCAACTCTCAGGCTTACTAACAATAAAGTTATGAACAAAAATGTCTGCCTTGTCATTTCAGGAGCCATGCTTGAACCGTGTCGCTCCTGAGACGATAAATAAATAACTCTGACACGCTGCCGTTTTATTGACGCTCTGGACGCTTGTCACTCACAGCACGCATGCAACAAAGAGTAAACTCAAAGCAAGAGTGATACCTGTCCCCTCTTTCCTCTTTTGCGTTGACAAAATGTTTTAGTTTTATCTATGAGTTCGTCAAAGCACAATTTGGATGCGTTTTATTTTTTGTAAATACAGAAGTAATGTTTAATAAATGTTAGGACTCTATTCTTTGCTAACAAAATATATTTTATGTCATTAAACAACTTGTCAGGTTCTTGTCTTGTGAGCATGTGCATTCCCCAGGACACCCCCCCCCCACACACACACACACACTATTTGCGTTCCGGCATCAGTTGGTTTATGAATTAAGCCGTGATTAAAGTTCCTGCAGTATCCGTTCTACTGAAGAACAATAATGGAAGTTAGTGTCATAAGCATCAGATGTTAAATCGCATAACGTCTCTAATATAGAAACGGTTTTTGAGGCTTGAGCTTTGAGACCGTGTCTACATGATGAGACATTGGACATCTGTTCTCACTGATGTGATTGTAAGATGTTTTTAGGTCTGCACGGAGAACAGAAGCAACACGACAGCAGAGATGGATGTTTATTATCAGCATTAGTCGATGATGGACGAGTCAAATCTGGTGTTTCTGTTGTTAACTGAGAGGTGTTAATTTGCTAATTTTTGTCACAAACAGACCGCCAACATTTCTTGCTGGAGCTGTAGAGATGGCTGTATATTCTAACAGCCTCGGCCAGCAGCCCCTCAGTGGAGCAGCTGAAGCCAAAAGAGTGCAGTTCATCCACATGAACATGTAAATGGAGTTCTGACCAATCGCTCAGCACTTGGCACACACCCCGTGACAAAATCCCTTTAACGGAGGGTTGTGCCCAGAACGAGTTCCTACAAGATCAAAGAGAAATTTTGTCAACAAGAACAAATATCTTGACAACTTGCAGACCCCAAATCAGCCTCGACATCAAGTTTGTGTTTGAGACTTTTATTGTGAAGGATTGAAACGAGTGCTAAGTTCTAATGAGGCAAGAGTAATAAACCAGACTGCTGCAATGGAAATACTGCGTATTTTAATAATCAGTAAAATTACCATGTTTATATTAATTTTTTAAACTTGAATTTCAAAACTACAATAACTAAATCCAAACTTTCTCTTTAGTTTCCTCTCTGGGTTGCCCCGCCACATGGCTGCAGCGACATGTCACTACCATGTGAGCAGTTCTGGTGACATGGACCACAGGGAGTGATTTATCTTTAGCAGGACTTCAGATCCAGTAACAACCCTCCTCCCTTTCTGACCTGTGTGAGGTAGCGGATCTGGGCGCTCAGCTCGCTCTCTATGCGGTTGATGGAGGTCTGGAACTGGACGAGCTGTCTGTCCAGTAAACTGCCGTTGTGTTTGTCTTTCGACAACTCCAGAACAATGTTCCCTGTCGAAACAAGCAGACTGGTCAGGACAAGAACAGAGTTTACAGGGGTATGGATAGTATACATGAACTTTAACATAAATTGTTTCTGCTACTAAAGAGCAGTGAGATATATTTTTTTATTTTCTGAAGAGTCAACTCAGTGAAGGAGTCAGTAAGTGCAGCGTTTTCCTCATCCAGCAGACAGACTTCAGAAACTTACAGGTTTGACACACAGACACAGACATGTGTGAATCTTGTGTTATTACAGTCGTGGATCATATTGTATGCATTCAAAACTTGTTGTACACTTGTGTGACAACGTTTAAGACTAATTTATCTCCACACCGGTGGACTATGATGTTTGCAGATGACATTGTGATCTGTGGTGAGAACAGGGAACAGGTGGAAGAGAACTTGGAGAGGTGGAGGTATGCACTTGAAAGAAGAGGAATGAAAGTCAGCCGTAGTAAGACAGAGTACATGTGTGTGAATGAGAGAGAGGCCGGTGGAACAGTGAGGCTACAAGGAGCAGAGGTCACAAAGGTTCAGGACTTCAAGTTCTTGGGGTCCACTGTCCAAGATAATGGGGAGTGTGGTAAAGAGGTGAAGAAGAGAGTCCAGGCAGGATGGAGAAAAGTTTCAGGAGTGATTTGTGGCAAAAGTGTGTCAGCAAAGGTCAAAGAAAAAGTTTACAAGACATCTAAAAAAGTTCAATCTGGTTCTCTGGGCATTCAAAAAACAAAACAAAAAAAATGTAGAAACGTTTCGTCTCTCATCCGAGAGACTTCCTCAGTCTGAGGTGCTGTTTTCAGCTCAGTCTCTTAAATAGCACCTTCTCAGAGTGGATCAACCAGGTTGCTGCTGACAACCAAAACCAGCTGATCACATGCTCAAGAAGAACCATCAGCCTAACAATGGATCATTAGCACACTGATGGCTGTTTACTACTCACAGAGGGCTGAGTGATACTAGCAATCACAGCATTGTAAGAGGGGGACAGTTGAACCCGGAGGCCTCCACCCCTGTTTAATGATGGACGGTTTCTTTTCACAAAGATGGCCTCCTTTACTCCTCTCTCAAACCATCGTTCCTCTCTGTCCAGGATGTGAACATCTTCATCCCTGAAAGAGTGACCGCTGGCCTGGAGATGAGTGTAGACCGCAGAGTCCTGGCCTGATGATGTTGATCTTCTGTGCTGGGCCATCCTTTTGGCCAGTGGCTGTTTAGTTTACCCGATGTAAGACTGATCACAGCCCTCCTGACACTGAACAGCATACACAATATTACTTTGTTTGTGCCGGGGGACTGGATCTTTGGGATGAACCAGTCTTTGCCGTAATGTATTTTGGGGTTTAAAAGCCACTGGGACGTTATGTTTAGAAAATAAACATCTCAGTTTTTCTGATACTCCCTCAACATATGGAATGACCACTGGTCTGGGTTCCTCCTTTTCACCTGATGGCTGACTGGAGTCCTGTTTGGGTTTCTTCTCTGCTTTCAGGAAGGCCCAGTTAGGATATCCACATTGCTCTAGAGCCTGTCTTGTGTGGGATTTCTCCTTCTGCCTGGCTCCTGAGCTAGTGGGGACGCTATCTGCTCTGTGGTACAGAGTCCTGATGACTCCTAACTTGTGTTCCAAAGGGTGATGGGAGTCAAACTGCAAATACTGGTCTGTGTGGGTGGGTTTGCGGTACACCTCAGTTTGCAAATGTCCTCTATTAGAGACTGAGACTTCACAGTCCAAGAAAGCCAACCTGCCATTTTTTACATCTTCTCGTGTGAACTTGATGTATTTATCCACATAGTTGATGTAATCAGTAAAATGTTGGACTTCCTGAGATTTAATTTTAACCCAGGTGTCGTCAACATACCTGAACCAATGACTTGGTGGTGTCCCTGAAAAGGACGTCAAGGCTCTCTTTTCTACCTCCTCCATGTACAGGTTGGCAACAATAGGAGAAACTGGAGACCCCATAGCACACCCATGTTTCTGCCTATAATATTGTTCCCCATATGTGAAGTAGGTTGACTGCAGGTACAGTTTCAAGAGTTGACACAGTTGTTCTGTGGAAAGTGTGGTCCTGCTGCTCAGAGTGGTGTCTGATTTTAATTTTAAACTGACCACCTCTACTGCATCATCAACAGGAATGCACGTAAAGAGTGATGTGACATCTAAAGAGACCATTGTTTCATCAGTCTCCATGATGACATCCCTCACCTTATCCACAAAGTCCATGGTGTTCTGTACGTGGTGTTCTGAGCTGCCAACTAAAGGGATGAGTACAGACGCCAGATATTTGGAAACATTGTAAGTGACAGAGTTAATCATGCTAACAATTGGTCTTAAAGGTACACCTTGTTTGTGGATTTTAGGTAAACCATACAGACTAGGTGTGGCCTCCCCTGTATGCAATCTTTGGTACAGAATACAGTCAATAGCCTTGTCCTGCTCCAAAAATTGTCAGGCAATCTATCAACTTCTTCTTGTAACCACTTCCTGGATTTCTTTTCAGAGGTTCATAAGTGGTTAATAAGTCACTAAGGAGTGTCATAACTTTCTCATGATAGTCTTACTGGTTCAAAATTGACCTTTGTAATCCATGTAAGATTGCTTTTTATCATGATTGTATTTAGCGGCAACCCCCAAAGTAAGCAGACAGAGATGGAACGACAGAGTGAACTTTATTTACTGGTGCAGTGCCAGGTATTTACAGGGCTGGAAGAGAGGAGAGGGCAAGGAGAGTCTTTCTTAAACTCTCAGACAGTCCTTGATAATGATGAAGTTGGAATGGAGAATAATCTCTTACTGTTTTTGTGTTGTAGGTGTGCCCCGAGGAGGAGTGAAGAGGTCCTGGATTTTTGGAAGATCCAGTGGAGAGGGGAGTACTGATGGAGAGAGGCGCATGTTGACCCAAGGTGGTTTGTTTGATGGCTGCAGTTTGATGGGACACCATTGGTCCGCAGGAGAAATCACTGTGGAGAGATGAGGTCCTTGGGAGGACTTGAAGGAGCAGGACGTGGAAGGCCCTGGAGAGATCACAGACGGTGAGGACTGGTTGTAATGAAAAAGGTTAGTTGGCTGAAATGAGTTACCATAAGGTAGTTGATGTCCTGGCACTGAAGAGATGTCTGGCAGGAGTTTATATACAGCCCCAGATCAGATCTCCTCAGGCAGCAGCAGGTGCAGTGAGTTGAGGTGATAAGCTGTGGAAAGAAAGTGAGTCACAGAAAAACCCAGGAATCCTACACTTTTAACTGTATTCAGCCCCACATTTTAGCAAAGAAATTGCAATGTATGTACGGTCTCAACTCTAGCCTCATCTGTTTGCTTGTGGACTTTTTAACTGTTCAGTCTCAGCGGGTGAGTGTCAACGCAGTTCTCTCTGATGTCCTTCTGTCCTCTACCGGTTCCCCTCAGGGCAGCGCTCTTTCGCCCCTTTTATTAATTTTATATACAAACGATTGTCGCAGCCATTTCCCACAGCGTCGCATTTTAAAGTTTGCTGATGTCATCTTGTCCCTTCTGAGCAGTGATGATCCAGACCTCGGGCCTGTGATTGGAGGCTTTACTGAATGGTGCGAGTCTTCCTTTTTAAAGATAAATGTTTCTAAGACAAATGAGATGGTCACTGATTTCAGAAAAAAACTCTTCAGTTGCCACTCCTGTGGTCATTAACAGTGATTTTGTTGAGGTGGTGCATCAGTATAAATATCTTGGAACCATTCTTGATGACAAACTGACCTTTGACCCCCATGTGAACTCAGTTTGTAAAAAGGCCCACCAGAGAATATATTTTTATCAGAAGCTCTGTGGTTTTGATGTTGATTTGACTTTTATGAGAATGTTTTATTCATGTTTTATTGAGTCTCTTGACTTTCACTTTCCTCTGTTGGTTTGGATTGTTAACATGCAAAAATAGGAACAAACTCTTGGGGATTGTCAGGATGTGCAGCAAAACTGCTGGCATAGCTGTACAGAACCTCACTGACCTACACAAGGCGAGGTCAGTGATCAAGGCCAGGCAGATTCTGGCAGATCCTGATCATCCACTCCGTTGTGAGTTCAGATTGCTTCCATCTGGATGCAGGTATCTGCTGCCCAGATGTAGAACAAACAGACTGAAAATCTAATTCTGTAGTGTTCAGGCTTCTCAAAGAACACTGATGACTTCCGTATTGTCATTTTAATGTCTTAATGTTTTGTGTAGTACGGGTCTTTTATATATCTGCTGACTGTGAAACTAATTGCCCCTCTGGGATAATAAAGATTCTTGAACTTGAACTGGTTTATTCTGTCCATCTGATTGGGTCTGTAGCAAAACTGCACCTAATCCTACTGGACTTGCATCAGTAATAACTACTATGGGTGCATCCAGTTTAAAGTAGGTTAGTCATGGCTCACTCACTAATGCTTCTTTCATTGCTTGGAATGATCTTTCTGTTTCACTTGTCCTCTCCCATGCTTGTCCTTTCCTAGTCAGCTTTCTTAGTGATTCTGATAAGTTTGTATAGTTTTGTTGTATGTCAGGACAGCTTTGCTGTGGACACACTACTAATTAATTATTCTTAAAGCTAGTTCAAGCACAAAGAATATTAATTGTTTAATTACAACGGATTCTTTTCTTTTTTCGAGTTAAATTTCTGTTATGTGACCAAGATAACTTGTGAGTGGAGTGTTTAATCAGTGACATGAGACGCCATTTTATCTTTGACCCATCAGAATAAATGTGGTCATTTATTTAACAGAATCAAAATCAAAACGTAGCTGCTGCCTCTCAGCGAGCAGGTCCCTGGTTCAAATCCCGGTCCAGGGGCCTTTCTGGGTGGAGTTTGCATGTTCTCTCCGTGCATGCGTGGGTTTTCTCCGGGTGCTCCGGTTTCCTCCCACAGACCAAAAACATGCATGTTAGGCTGATTGGTTACTCTAAATTGTCCCTAGGTGTGAGTGAGAGAGTGAATGGTTGTTTGTCTCGTTTGTCTTTATGTGTCCCTGTGATGGACTTGCGACCCGTCCAGGGTGTACCCCGCCCCTCGCACAGTGATTGCTGGACATGGGCACCAGCGACCCCCGTGACCCAAAATGGAATAAACGGGTAAAGATAATGGATGGATGGATGGAAAATCAAAACGTGTACACATTGATTTGCTGATCTGTTTCTGATTAATAAACTTGGTACGATTTACTAGACAAGACAACAGAACATTACTGATTGAGAGTGATTCATCTCTGAAGGCATCTAGCTTGATTTACTGGCTAATAGAGACGTTTAAGAGAGGAGGAATAGATTTAAGGCGGAAGTTTAGATGTGGAGTTATGTGTTGAACCAGAACATTGCATCCTTCCTCCGACATCCAGCTCAGCCCTCCGGTACACTTCAGGACGTGCAGCGACTTTGTTACCTTAGCAGAGGATGTATCCACTCCGGAACAGAAGTCCATTGGTACGCTCCCTTTTCAGCGTCTCCGGTTAGAGTAGCTGGGGGTCATCAGAAATCGTGACGAAGTACTCGGTTCAACCAAATAAGCTTCCTTAGGAGTTGAGCTTTTAATGCTCGGGTTGAGTCATAGCCGAGGCAGGCTGTGACTACGCTGGACTGGAGAGACCCTTGGCACATGGTCAAATCCATCCGCTACTTAGTTGAGTCTCATCTCCGACTGAAAGTTCCAGCAAGACTGGAAAAGACTGCGAAGACTCCAACAGACGATGAAGTCTAAGACTCGTGAAGACTTCGAAGAAGACTAAGACTTCGAATAGTTCCAAGAAGTGTTGCCTTTTAAAGAGGTATCCACTTCCTGTTACGTGGTACTTCCTGATTGGTTGAAACAACCAGCAGGGGTGTAGTTCTAGTGATGTCAGAGGGTCACTAGGAGTCAGGAGGCAGCAGGAATATTTTTAAAAATGGTTAGTATAGACAGAGAAATATTATTAAGAGGTGAGACAAAGCAGGCGCCAGCAGCTCTTATTTACTGTCTGAGAGTTTTAAAACAAGACACTGCGTTCTCATAACTTGTCTCTGACTTTCGACCGACATCCACTATTCCTCATTCAGACAGAAGACTAAAATGCACACTTACTTTGTAAATAGACATTTAACTGTATGATCAAAGTCTAACGAGGTTTAAAAATCATTAATACTGTTTCACAGTTGATTTAAATGAGTGGTTCACTTCAACATTTAGAAATGGTATGAACTAAACACACTTTGATTATCAAGATATTGTAAAATAGTAAAGATAATGTAAAAAGAAGAGTGTTCTTTCAATTGATTAATTCAGGATACAACTAAATAGTCTCTTGATGAGATAATTTGTATTTCTGGATTCAAATCAATGAAATAGCAGTTCCTGTCCCATGAAGGTCTTCAGAGACAGATTGAGGTCGGAGGTCTAGTTCACTACAGTTTGGTATAAATTTAATCAGAAATCCACAAGTGCCTATCAACGAGCGGAGTTGTTGAATGTTTTCAGGTTGGTGTGCTTTGTAGATGGCTTAAACCTTTCTTGGGTCCAGTCCAGTTTAATTCCTGTATCATGTGTCCAAGTATCTCAGTCTGTTGTAACCAAAAAATGCACTTGTCACTGTTGAGGGTTAGACCTCTGTTCACAAGTCTCTGAAAGACTTTTCTCAGTCTCTGTTCAAGTTACTCTTCATCCTCTCCAAAGACTACTACATCTTTCATGTGGCAGACAGTGCCAGGCATTCCACATAACATAGAATCTATAGCTTTTTGGTAGACTTCTCGTGCACTCGACAATCTGAAGGGAACTTTTCTGAAGCGATAACACCCTCTATGTGTAATGAATGTCGTCAGGGGTCTGGACTCTGCGGCTAAATCACACTGCCAAAATCTCTTCGGTACATCTAGCTTAGCAAACGCTTTTACTCCCTGCACTGCCTGTAAGAAGCTGTTTACTGTTGGTACTGGGTGTCTTTCTCTGATAAATGGACTGTACTTATATAGCACCTTTCTATCTTATTTCAAGATACTCAAAGCTCTTTACACTACAATCTGTGCCTCATTTACCCATTCATACAGCACTCTACTAGATCTCTACAAAACCAATTGAACAAATCATTCTAAAGAGACTAATCAGAGCTTTATCACATTCATACACTGATGGGACACACATCAGAGGCTATGAGAGGTTCAGTGTCTTGTCCAGGGAGACTTCAGCATGTGACTGCTGGTGGAGTCGAACTCCCAACTCTCGCATTGGAGGACGACTGCTCTAACCACTCAGCCACTGCCGCCTCAATCACTGCTCTATTCACTCCCCTAAGGTCTACACATAGCCTCACTTCTTTTGTGTCTTGGGTACAATAAGGATGTTAGAAACCCATTCTGATCCTTCATTCACCTTTAAGAACTATTCAACTTAAAAAAAAAAATTAAACCCATTTTTTGTGTTTCAAGTAATTGTTCATTTACATTAATTATTTCATTGATGTTTTATTTTTATTTTGTTTTATTTAGTCTGTTTTGCACAATTAATTTATTTTTATGCATCTAAGTTATTTTATCTGTTGTTTAATGTTACTTTTAGTACCACTAGATTGCATGTGTCAAACTCAAGGCCTGTGGGCCAAATCCGGCCCGCCATAACATTTCTGTGGCTCTCTACACCCTAGAGGTCCACAGAAACAGAATTCAAGATAACTGTGCTTCAGTATTACTTTACCAGTCAAATCATATCATTTCTTTATGTTTATAATGCCAAATTACTTGAAGAAGTCGTCGAATGCAGAGAACATTGTATTTTACCAGTTTGTGAAGAGGTAGTTTTATCAATACATTCTGCCATGTCTGGCCTTTTGAGGACATTCATGAACTTGATGTGTCCAAACTGAAAATGAGTTTGACACCTCTGTATATAGGATCATATAAACAGGGCTGTCAGAGTTGCAATGAGTTTATGTGAGGTGGGGAATGATCTGATCATCTGACTGTTGATG